GTTTTGTACTCATTTATTGACGAGTCGGCTGCGGTGCGGCCAACTCAATGCGCTGCTTCTCTGCCGCTCACTGCACATAACAGACGCCGAGAGAGGTGACACTTCTCCGGGTAAGTCAGACCTCGCGTTCGCGGGACAGCACTGGCGAAATCTTCCAACTGAACCATAGCTAAGGTTTATCCAAAAAAATGTCGCTAGGTTTGTCAGTATGAATATTCTATGGAACAAAGCCACTACAAGGGTCTGAAAGTTGCTAAATCTAGTGCTAAAGTCGCGCTCGTGTGTGTGAGACGCGGAAGCTGATGGCAGGGGGCGGTGGATATTTGTGTTATTAAAAAACACTTCAAATAAAACTGTAAAATGTACACTCTTTATACCTTTTGAAATCTTGATGTAAGCTCTTTTATTTGTCAGCTGCCCATGTTCAGTCCTATGGAAGCCCATTTCCACCATGGAATAAAAAATACAAACGTCTTATGTCAGAACTCTGACCCGCATAAATTATGAGTTTATATCTCACAATTTTGAGTGAACATCTCGCAATTCTGCCTTTTTTCTCAGAATTTATATCTCTGCTTTTTTTTCTCAGAATTGTGTTATAAACTTTATTTCTCAGAATTCTGGCTTTTTTTTTTTTTACTGTATTTTTTTTTACGAGTGGGGGAATTTAGAGGAAAAATTCATAATATTCTGAGTCATAATCTAAATTGCAGGATATAAACAAGCAATTCTGTGAAAAAAAAAAAAAGTCTGAAATGTGAGAAATGAATTGTGAATTTTGTGCTAGAAACTCACATTTGTGAGAAATTTGTTGTGCGTTGTTAACTCACAATTCTGAGAAATGAAGTCAGAATTGTGAGACAAGAAGTCAAAAAAGATAAGATTAGAAAAAATGTTTATATTTCATTTCGTGGCAGAAATGTCCTTCCGTACAAACCTTTCCTAAAATTACTCTAAAATGAAGATACATTTAATCAAGATAACTTTCATTATCCAGGACTCCAATAAACCTGGAGCCCATCTGACAGTGAAAAAGATCTTTGTCAGTGGAATCAAGGAGGACACAGAGGAGTATCATATCAGAGAGCACTTTGAGCGCTATGGGAAAATAGAGATTATTGATATAATGGAGGAGCGTTCAACTGGGAAAAAGAGAGGATTCTGCTTCGTCACCTTTGATGATCACGATACTGTGGATAAAATTGTTGGTGAGCTTGAGATGGAAACCATTTGCCAGACACTGACTACAACAGAATCAGTTGCTCTAAAGCTAGATGGAGACGCTTCTTATTTAATTATTGTGCATGCTGCTTTTATGAACTTGTTATTCAAGTGAAACATTTAAATGTTTACAAAACACCGTTTAAGTGATTCAAATTAACACTAAAATTAACATGTTCCCTTATAAATAGTTTTTTTTTTTTTTTTACCTAAAATCGTGATATTGTTGTATAAAAGTTCATGGGCATGTTATGTGTCCATGATGTTATGTTAGAACAGCGAGAAATACTAGTTTTTACAGGTTTTATTCAGCAGCTGAGCAAACAGATTTCTGTTTTGCTTTTAAAAAAAATCTTTTTCCTTTTTCATGAGCACAAAAATATCACACAATCAACTCGCATAACTGTGAAGTAAGAAAAAGCACTTCCAAAGCAGGAGATGCAAGCTGTTTCTAATCAGAGATGTAAGTAATGTGTTTCAAATCTAACTGCCTTTCTGATTCTCATTTTTATAATTAGGTTTATTATGTTACTGTAATATTCAAGTTGTCGTAGGTAATAATATATAACATGTTTTCTGTTGTCAGATCGCGGTGGAGGCAATTTCATGGGCAGAGGAGGAAGTTCATGGGCATGTTATGTGTCCATGATGTTATGTTAGAACAGCGAGAAATACTAGTTTTTACAGGTTTTATTCAGCAGCTGAGCAAACAGATTTCTGTTTTGCTTTTTAAAAAAATCTTTTTCCTTTTTCATGAGCACAAAAATATCACACAATCAACTCGCATAACTGTGAAGTAAGAAAAAGCACTTCCAAAGCAGGAGATGCAAGCTGTTTCTAATCAGAGATGTAAGTAATATGTTTCGTATCTAACTGCCTGTTCTGATTCTGAAATATACATTTAGACAGGTTTGGAGGTTTACAATGTTACAGTAATAATGTGAAGTTGTTATAGGTAATAATATATAACATGTTGTTTTGGATCTTTTCCGTTGTAAGATCGCGGTGGAGGCAATTTCATGGGCAGAGGAGGAAACTTTGGCAGAGGTAAGATGACATGCGATCCTGTACATCTGATCCTGTGTGTCGATTACATCTGCAGTTTGTACAGTAGAGCCTCAGGTGTGAATAGTCCTGCGGTAAAAACTCAGTGAATGCCGTATCTTTCACAGGAGGGTATGGAGGAGGCCGGGGTGGCTGTGGAGGAGGAGATGGATACAACGGATTTGGTGGGGACAGTATCATTATACTAATATGAGCAGGGCTCACTAAATCCACACTCCCTTGTAAAACTAGCTGTTAAATTCATGCCAGATTTGCACCGATGTTGAACAGAAGGGCTTTGCCAGAACAATATATTTTTGAAATGGCTGCTTTGTTTTTAGTCACTGGTGAAATCGAGGATGGATAAGCATAGGAAAATTTCCAGAGCTGAAAAACTATATTTTTCATTATGCTAACCTGCAGTGGTGTGAAAAAGTGTTGGCCCCCTTCCTGATTTCTTAT